CTTCGGCCCGCGACACTTGCACCCGGGGCCCCACGGGGAGGCGCCGCCGAGATCGGCCCGGGGTGGGGTGGGGGCGCCTCTGACGGAGCTGGCTCCCTCCCTCGTAGGTACCCCCCCCACCCCAACACACACGCCACAAACTTGCCCTGAGCTTCTGAAAACACAGGTGCAGGTGGTGGGCCTGGATGTAGGGCCGAGCCCCTGCCTCCCGCTCTGGACACTCACCCGGGCCGGGGGCCCCCTCCCGCGGCTCGGCGCGCCCCGCTCCCCGGCTCCCCCCGCCGCTCGCGTCCTGCTCCGATTACAGCCGTAAACACCGGGCAGAGGCCCCCGCGCGGGAGGGAGCTGTTGGGAAGTCGTTTAAAGACCGAGTTCCCCTCGGGGCGGATGCCCAGAAGCCCGGAGCGCTGCCACCGTGGGGTGGAAAATGTGGGGACGCCCACGGCGCGCGTCCAGCCTCAGGCTGGAGTTTTGGCCACTGGTCAGGCCCCGGGCCTGCGGAGAAGTCTCCAGACCCACCGCACCTTAAACGCGCTACGAGCACGTATCTCGCCTTTCCTTAGAGCGGGGAACGCCCCTCACCCCCATCCCAGGCGGGGGCGAGGCCGCGGGGCTGCCACCGCCACCCACCCAGCCAGCCGGCGGGTCCCCAGCCGCCGCGGACCCTAGCTGCGCCGCGGCCGAGAGCCTGAGCTCGGGAGGTCGCCTGAGTGGAAGGCCTTTCTTCGTCTAGCTGGCCAGGAGCACTACTTCTATTTGCAAATCCCTGGGCATTGCAAGAAAATTCAAGTAAGAGAAAACAATCAACGCGCTTTTCCAGATTTCCTGTTGAAATGAAATCAACAAAAGCGCGGGAAGAGTTTGCTCGCTGCGGCGCGCGGCACCGGCTCTCCCGCCGGCCCAGGCAGGCAGCCTCCGGGCTTAAGGGGGTCCGTGAAGGTCGCAGCTCCGAAGTTGGGGGCTGGCCGCAGCCTCTGGCGCGGGGGCCTCTCCCTCCCGCCTTCCCTCCTCCTTTCTCTGGTCGGTTGGGGTGGGGGGCGGGGATTTGCTGAGGGGGAGGCTGCAAGGAAGATCTTCTCAAAAGCCCTGGAGTTTGCTGGGGAGCTGGAGATTCTCGCCTTCCCTGAAACAGGAAATGATCCCTTGTTCACACGCCTTTCTGTGCATAAAGGGGTAAGGGGCGGCAAGGGCCACACAGCCGCCCCCCC